ACCCCAGATGAAGTCGAAAAAGACGCAGAAGATGTTGTCGAAGATGAGGAGACTGATAATGACTACCTGCTAGCAATAGACAAGTCGAGGAGAGTCATCAAGCCACCTCAGAGACTTGGGTATGCAGATCTTATAGCTTATGCCTTAATCTCTGCAAGTGAGGTTCTAGACGAAGAACCTAGAGACTATAAGGAAGTTATGAGGAATCAAAAGAAGATTGAATGGCTGAAGGCCATGTATGATGAGATGAAATCTCTTCATGATAACAACACCTAGGAATTAATCAAGAAACCTGCTAGAGCCAGGTTAGTCAGCTGTAAATGGATTTTCAAAGTTAAGGAAGGAATCGAAGGAGTGACGTCGAAGATATACAAGGCAAGATTGGTTGCTAGGGGGTTCACTCAGAAAGAAGGTATCAACTTTAATGATGTGTTTTCTCCTGTTGTGAAGCACAAATCCATTCGAATGTTGCTTGCCATGGTGGCCCAGTTCGACCTTGAACTGGAACAAATGGATGTAAAGACTGCGTTCTTGTATGGTGATCTAGATGAAACAATCCTGATGAGGCAACCTGAAGGGTATATCGAAAGGGGGAAGGAAGATAATGTGTGCAAACTGAATAGATCTTTATATGGACTGAAACAATCTCCTCGATAGTGGAATAGGAGATTCGACAAATTCATGGCACGCATAAGTTTCATCAGAAGTCAGTTTGACCACTATGTTTACTTCAGATTTCGATCGGGTAATTCATTTGTTATTTTGTTGCTCTATGTGGATGATATTCTAATAGAAAACAACAATGTCGAAGAGGTAACGAGGGTGAAGGCTGAACTCAATAAAGAGTTTGACATGAAGGATTTGGGAGCTGCGTCAAGGATTCTTGGGATTGACATCCGAAGAGATAGAAAGCAGTCGAAATTATGCTTATCTCAAGAGGCATACCTACAAAAGGTTCTCGAAAAGTTTGGTATGTCAAATTCAAAGCCTGTAGTGACTCCGACAAACCCTCAATTCAAGATAGGTATAGATTAGTGTCCCAACACTGATGTTGAAAGAACTTATATGAATAACATTCCATATGCTAACATAGTAGGTTCTTTGATGTATGCTATGGTCTATACTAGATCCGACATAGCATATGCAGTAAGTCTTATAAGTAGGTACATGGTGAATCCTAGAAAGGCTCACTGGCAAGCATTGAAGTGGATTTTAAGGTACATAAATGGGTCTCTGAATAGAGTTCTAATTTATGGTGGAGCCTTGGGTGAAGATAGTAAAGTCGCAATGGAAGGATATGTCGACTCTGATTACGCAGGTTGTATGGATTCTAGAAAATCTATCTCGGGATATGTGTTCACTATGTTTGGGACAACAATCAGTTGGAAAGCAACACTTCAGAAGGTCGTTGCCTTATCAACCACTGAAGCGAAATATATTGCCTTAACTGAAGCTGTGAAGGAATCATTGTGGCTTGAAGATTTTGCAAATGAGCTAAAAATTCAAGGTCGAGTTATCACTGTTAAATGTGATAGTCAAAGTGCAATACACCTGTCGAAGAATTCAGCCTATCATGAGCGAACCAAGCACATTGATGTGAGGCTGCATTTCATCAGAGGGGTAATCGAGCTTGGAGAAGTCCAAGTGCTGAAGGTTTCGACAGATCATAATGTTGCTGATATGATCACCAAGACGTTGCCCAGTTGCAAGTTTTTCCACTGTATGCAGTTAATAAAGCTGCATGAAGAAATCTATTTTCTTGATGTTATAGAGTTAGATCCAAGGTGGAGATTTGTGAGATGTTGGATCGAACTTTAGTATGGTTGAAGTCTGTTCGCGAGTAATGCGTGTTGTAGTCGAAGTTTGTTCTAACATGCATTAGTCAATATTGCTAGGGTTGTTAGCATGTTGAATTGGGTCTTGCTTGTAAGCCCAATTGTTTAAGTTAGTTTGTACCCTAAATTAGCTTGTAATGGGTAATTCTTAAAAAGCCCATTAGGTTAGTGTGCTATTTTTCTTATAAATAGGATACTAGTTTCTCAATCTTGACATAAGGAAAAATAGAAAGATAAAATCCTAATTTCAAGAGAGAGAGGTTATTTTGTTATTCTTGTATACTTGAAAATCTTGTTTTAAGAAAAAGGAAAGAATAGCAGTTTAATAACCAATCCTTGTTGTTTTCTTCTTTATTAACCCTAACCCTTGTGTGTTTCTTGATCATTAAGAAACTGTTTACACTTAGTTAAAGGTATCCTATGCACAACAGATTTGAACCAAACATATTTAATTAAAAATTTCTCCTCCCCTCCCCTCCCCTCTCTTTCATCTACCCCGAACCAAACACACTCTTAGAGAAAAGTGCATGACCATGAACCAACTAAGTGCAGTAATTCCAAAAGACCAAATATCAACCTTAAAAGTAAAACTTGTACCATGTTGCAGCGCCTCTGGCACCATTCTTCAAGTTGGTTCCAACATGAAATTTGCACTTTTCCTAATTTATCTTGATTTTCATGACTTCCCTTGATGAAAATCAACCAATTCCCACATCCTCTTGAAATTTTCCTCGTAAAGTCCATGGTTGACCAAAAATCTCAAAAGTTAAACTTTGACCATGAGTACTTTGTTGACTTTTTGCAAATGAATTAATCTACCTCACATATCATCTTGAATCCACTTGAATTACTCTGAGAAGGCCAATAAGGTGTACAAAGAAATCTTGAATCATTTCTTAAACCTTGGAGTCAAGTTTTGGTCAAAAAGTCAACCTCCAATTGACTTTGACCAAAACCCTAATCTTAAGCACTTTGTGAAAGAAACTGGTACCATCTTGAACCAATAAAATGGTGAAATGCTAATCACTTGAGATGGAAGGAAAGCATAAGCTTGATATATAGAGAACTAACCAAACCCTTGCTCAAATCAAACCTCAGTTGAAACCATAATGAAACCTTAGATTGATGATTCTTGGGAAATCTTGAGGAATATGGCTTGATAAGTTGATGAGTCTTGATGAATGCCACAACCCAATAAATCATCTTTAAAGATGGCACATCTAACTTGAAAGGAAGTTGTGTCTTGATAGTGTTAGAAGGATTAGAAACTTGATTATATAACAATTTTTTAAGTTCAAGGTTAGCATAAGCCAAGTCAAATATGAAGTTTTCATTGACGACATGGCCCCACCCTCAAAGTAGACGCGTAACATTTAAAATCCAGGAGCAACTTCTAATTGGTTGCAAATCAAGCCATCGGGGAATATCAGAAAAAGAAGCCCTAGCTCATAAAGTATCTAAAAAAGGTATGTGACTTGTCAGAATATTTTAGAGCTTCCAAGATAACATACGTGCTCATGGAGGTAAATTTCAAGGAGAACCTTATGTCCAAGCTTTCCAACTCAAAGAAAATATAGTACTAATTCAGAAGACGTTCGACGCCCATAATATTGAGGTGGCGAGACCAACATTGTTGAAGTCGCCAAGACCACTGGTTGGATGACGCCCATAATACACTATCTACAATTAGATGAATTACCATAAGCAGATATAAAGGCGAAGAAGTTCCACAAATGCGCAACAAAGTACACTCTAATATCGAGAAGGCTCTACAAAAGTTGCATACTCAACAAAAGTTGCAAGTTATGCATGGCTTGTTCCTCCCCCGTGTTGAATGGTTTCGTGTCTTATTTCGTATCCTCCCTTGCGTCTTTCTTTTCTGCTATCACCTATATTTGGAACTCAATTTCCTGATGGTTCTTTAACACACTTGTTACTGATAACATGTCCCAAGTGAAACCAATATTTTCTATGGGAACATTCCACCAAATGTTTCACCATCTCCGCCTTCAACAATATACAAAACCATAAAACAAATGATTAGACATATTCCTTTAATCTTCCCATTCTTGCTTTTATCACGTCAATTCTCACAACCATTCCTAATTCTGACATTTCTTCTTCCTCAAGGATCTTTAATTAAATAAATGATGACTCCCCCTCGAGTTTTCGACTGTTTTCGAGAGTTTCCAACAGTTATCCCACAATTTTCGACTATTATCTAACAATTGTCTAGCGGTTTTTGGCAATTCCCAAAAGTACCTGGTAGGTCAGGCCAATTATATAAACTTAAAATTAAGATAAACGAAAAATATATTATTGATGATTAAAATTAAATTATTACCAAGAGAAATCCCAACAATCTCAAAGTCAAGTGCTCCTCAGATGAGAGATGATTTTTACTATGCCTAACTCAAAAGGGTTCGAACTAAAAATATACATAATGAATTCTCCCTTGCTATCGATGTCCTTATATAACTTTCATTCTCCCTTTAAACATAAGTAGTTATAACGAGTTCCCTATTAAGTTTTTATATTGGGCTAAAGCCTAAATACAATATCTTATCAGTTTCTATATTCTAGTTAGGTTGTTCTTCGACCATGATGTTGAGATATTTATAATCATACTAGGTCTGAATACAAAGCTCCCTTAAAAATAACAACCACTCAGAGCATGAACTATTTATCTCTTGATATTTAGAGGAACGTGGTCACCTCTCCCACGACTTCTTTTGTGACGTTACAGAATGATAACACGTCCCTTACCAATTTCCACATCGAGCAAGTAATTCCATAAAAGAGCGATACTTTCGATGGGAGAGAAGATAATATTTAATAGTTTATGTGTTTGATTCAAATTTTAAGAGGGAAATAAGAGATAGATAGTAGGGATCAAAATTTCTCTTAAATCATTTTTTGCTCCCCTCTAATTTGGAGGATTTTGGAGAGGTGGGGAAGTATTTCATTTTAATTATAGTTATATTTTCATATTTATTTTTATTTATTTTTTAAAATATCAATTTAATTAAACCGTAATTCCCTATATCAAAAAATGGACTAAAACATTTTTTTGATAACTTAAACAATCAAATAAACAGCCCGTACAATTTGCATTTTGTGCAAAAACTAACTTCTCTAGAGAGAGACAACGACTCAGAGAAGAGCATGACGAGGCTGAGAAACTTGAGAAAGGGTTTCAAAGCTATTCAAGATTCGGAACTCGTCAACCTCTTCAAATCCGAAATTAACTTCGAACTTTCTTCTAATCACTTTCAGGTTCTCTCTTCTCCAACTCTAAACCCATTTCTACAATCAATTCATTCACACGATTCTCAAATATTTTTATCACTTGAAATTAAGAAATTATTATTATTTATTTGCAACTTACACATGCATTTTAATGTATGCAGAATGCTCAAATTGGTTCCTTAGGTGAATTCGTAGTGGACTATGATTCACCACATTCCATAGATGTGATTTTGAGAAGAAAATGTGATTCCGGTGAGGAGGTTGCTCTTTCAGCTATATTGGGTCCTCCTAACTATGAAAAAGATCTTATTTTTGTAAGAGATGTTTTCATGAAAATATGTGTTAAGAAGCCAGATTTGTCCTCTATCTTGCAATTTGACTGTAGAGCTTATCAAGATACTGATAAAACCTCTCAATTTGACATCAACAATGCTTATTATCTTAGATCGCCCGCGTCTCTCAGCTCTTCCGTTTACAGAGGCCCCTTATTCAGGTAAACTACTCGAGGCAGTTTTATTCGTGTGCGTTAACCGGTTAATATTATAGTGTTTGACATGGAGAATATGTCATATTAAATGTTTGAAGTTCAAATGAATCATAATCATTGAAATGAATTATGTTCGTGATGCTGCTCTTCGTGCATAATTCAACGAACTATTGAGTACATTATAGACATTTGACAAAAGGATAGGTTAATGTCTTTTCTTGATGTAGGACTAATGTGAAACTAGGATGTAAGGTTGGAGATGAAAATCATAGTTTACTTTATCATCTTTGGTGTGAATGATTCAATGAGGAAGTAATCGAGCGGTCATATGTAATTTCCACTGTTGAAAGGGGAATTTATGATACTTTACCTTTGTAAAGGCTGCATCATTGAGTACTTAATCACAATCTGCAAGTGTTGTTCATAATTCGTCTACATTTGTAAAGATAGTGGTCTTTTGGAAGGCTTAAAATATATGTTCCAAGGTGTTGTTGATCTGCTGCATTAAGTTGACAATGTTTTTGATTCATTCTCTTTAGTGACCAAAGAAAGACTCGTTGTTGCTAGAATATATGAAAAATACACTGATTGTGTCATAGACTGATTTAGAGCAGTGTTATCAATCCTAGTTTACAGAGCTTAGCGGCAGACCCTAAAAACACTATAATGAGATAGAAGATAGCATGGGATGGCCTCTATTTTGACTCTTTTTTTTCTTCTTTTTTTAAGTTTATATAATTCATACTACATAAATAAAAACTCAACAACGTGCCTCTGACCAGTGAGACAGTGAAAAATGACAGCAGGAATGAGACATAGTAAGAGAGGAGAAGACCAAATGCTATTCTGATGTCTTAGTTGCGAAATTCCTAAAATACCTACTCACACAAAATTTGTAAACCATTCAATTTTAAGGGCCTTTGAAATCCTTCTGAGGCATAGTGGCCGTGACTTCCACGCTTTTGGCTGCTACACTAAGTGTGTTCTATAGCAGCCAAGGGCAACTGTGCTCTACTACATTGCTATACCCAATTTGGAGTAGCATCGACTATATCTTAGGATTGGTTTCCATATTTTCTTTAATATCATGTTTTGTTTCTTTATGTAATTAGGATTAGGATTATATATTAGTATAAAAAAGGTGAGTTCTTCACTTTTGAAATAACAACCAGTATATTACTCACATAAATATTCATGTAATTTTATTATTCTAATTATTCAGTTTCCTCCATAAAAACCTAAAGATGAAAACTTATAACTTGAGCATGTGTTATAGATAACAGTTGTATAATGCTACAACTTTTCCTCCATATCCATTCGATTATTAATTTATAACCTCTTCTCTCATCAACATGTTATATTTTTCTTGTTCATTTATGCTGCAAGTGTTACTTTCATATAATCATCTTAATTACCTCTATGGCCTGATCTCCTAGGCCCTCTGCTAACTTCTTTTATATACCGGACTATTCATCTTAGCATATGATAACCTTTATGTAATTTGAATGTTCAAATGCCACTATATAACAGCTTTTAGACAGCATGCCGCAAGCAACATTCCTATAGGCATTGCTTTAAGAATTTCATTTTTGGTGGATTACTTGTCTTGACTCTAGTTTTTGCCAGTAAATTTCAAGCAACTAAGAAATTCATTCAAACGCTGTTGTTTCTTTTTCAAGTTGGGTTTAAAAAAGATTATGACATTTCAGCATTTTAAACTCTTTTTGACTGTTTAAGGGTCATCGGATATTCTGAACGGATTAAGCTAGTTATATAAAACTAAGCCTGTAAGAACTTAAGCACTTGTTGTTCATATTCTTTAGTGAGTTGAACTCGATAGAACAGCAGATGTGCCTTTTCTTATTACAATATCATCACTTCGGATTTCAGTCAAACCATTCATAATCTTATTCATGGTCTTTTCTATATCATGTGCAGTGAATTGGGTATTAAGTTGCAAACAGCATTCAAGGAATACCTGATAGACAAGGGCATTGGAGGAAGCTTAACCAATTTCCTTCTCCACTACCTACACACAAGAGAACAAAAGCAATACGTGAACTGGTTGAAAACAGGTGAAGCATTCCTGTCTAAAAATTGAGTCAACATTCATAGACACGTTCTGCATAGTTATGCAGAGTTGCATTATACTTAGTATTAGCACATTTCCCAAGTGTAGGAATGTGGATTAGATGTTCATTTTTATCAATTTTTGTATTCAACAATTTAAGAGCTAGAATTATGCTGAGGTTGTCAAAATTATAATATTACATTCAATTTTCAAATGTGAAGTTTAAATTTTGAAGATTGGAATGAGAATATTTGATTGATAAACTACTAGTATTGTATAACTTAAATATTGATTGGAAAATATTGTACGGTTGGATATTGAAGTCTATAGAATCTTATCTTAAACCACCAATAACTAATTTGTTTTTAAAAAAATCATTTTCTTCCTTCTTATCATTCATCATCTTCATCACTATCTTGATGCATATTTATGTGAAATCCAGAAAAATTAAAATTAAATTTAGAAATTTTTTACTCATGCTTAATCCAACAATTAAACCCAAAAAAATGTTGAGGGATAAATTTATTAGACCAATCAAACGTATACTCATTAGAAAATTCATATTCAACGACAAACATATTGTATTATTCCATCGTCATCTTTAAAATACAAAAAACTCATAAATACTATTTCCAACAACTCTTTAAATTAAAAAAAAAAAAAAAAAGAAAAGAAAGGAAAACTCAACTATCACCTTCAACTTCATAAACAATAATAAAAATGAAATAAATTATATATTGATGTGTTTCTCCATATACCCTCATTCCCTATGTTCAACCAAATTTTCGTATTCTCCTTTCTGTTTAACCATATTTATGTTCATTTTGAAAAATAGTCGTGGATGAAGTTATCGGAATGAGTTGTAGAACAACATTTTGTTCTGATGGCATTAAAGTCACTCGATAGTAGTGTTAAAATCATTCGCAGTTTCTGGAAAAATCAGTTTTTGATGACGCAGATAAACCACTCAAAAAAGAAAAAAGAAAATTATAGAAAAAATAAATATGGAGTACAGCGGAATCGAATCAATCAAGAGTCAAAATTAACCGGTTGTCATTCACTTGCTCAACATATTCGTCGACTCTTTAAAGGCAAGTAAATTCAGTCAGAATTAGGTTTCTGTAAAAGACATGTTATGTTACATATGTATTAATTAATTAATTAATTAATATTAATTCTTTTTTTATTTTTAATTAATTAATAATAATAATAATTAATTTTTACCGAATTAATTAAATTTATTTTATTAATTTTTCATCAATCCGGGTTTCAAAAATTAAATAGTCATTTGCTAGCGTGGAATATATAAACAATACTAATGTGTTGTTTGTAAAACTCTGAATTCAACTAATTTATTCAATTGAATTTTTTTCGTTGTATTTAACAACTTAAATGATTTAATATGTTTTTAATTTTTTATTTGATGATGATATGTGTTATGTGGAGTTTGAGAGTTAATAGAATTTTAGATAGTTTATTTAATAAAAATGGTAAAATATTAATTAAATAATTAGAAAATGTAAAATATGTGAGATTTGGGTGGAAAATGAAATTATGAGAAATTATGGTGTGAGTGGAAAGAACATAAAATATTTGTGGGCTAAAATAGAATAATTAGTAATGCTGAAATTAGGTTAAATAAATAGATTAGGTAATACGATTAAAGGAGCCTTAAAAAGTTGAGTAGTACATGAGAAATTGAGAAAGGAGCTTTTGGAGAACTAGAGCAAGAGTTTGAGAAAGTGAAAGAGAAAGCCATATCTAGAGTGTTTTTGTTAGAAATCCGAAGTAAAGGGAGAGAATTACTTAATTAAGGGTGTTAATTCCATGAATGGCTAGCGATGACTCCTTAATCTTCTTCTAGGTTTTCTCTCTTTTCTTCAATAGATGATGTACATGTAGTTTGATATGATATTGTGATGAATCTGTTCTGAATGTTCATTGCGATATGAAATCTGACAACTCTGCAAGTGCACGAAAATATCGTAGTAATATAAAAGAATGTCGAACCCACATAGACCAATTATCAAGTGTATCGTTATCTACTATTGCTATGTAAATCTAAGACTAAAAAATAATTGAGGGTGAAAAATAATTAAAATAAATTAATATGGATAAATCATCAAAGATGGATGCCAGAATGCGGCTCGCAGGCTCGCATCGATCAACAATACTCCCAAAGACGTATTGATTACTAGTTAAATTGGGATAATATTTTATTGTAAGAGAAATAATTAATTTAAAATGCCGCTTTTGCATGTTCAGCGTGTTAAAATGCAAAATTTTAATTTTTTGAAAATTAATTACTTTCAATTAATCGAAAAGTTCTTTAAAGTGAAAATTGAATTTAAAGGTATTACTGACTTTCGCATCGTTTAATACTGGATTTTGAGTGCATAAAAGCACGCTTCTACGTGTCCGTTTATGGCCTTAAAATCCCTTTTTAAAAATGATTTTTTTTTTTTGCAATTTAAAGATAAAAGTTACTTTCGCATAACAGTTAAATAAATTTTACCAGTTCCGTTATCAAATCTGAACTGGTAACTCTAATTTTTGCTTTCGCAACAAATATTTAAGTTAAAACACATAAAAAGTTAGTCTTTAAACAAATCTCATTTAATTAGATAAGTAAAAACTTAAATGCAAGTATCGTTAGAACAACGGTCCTAACATTTCGGACTCGAAGAATTTAGTCAAACATAATATAAATTGAAAAAACCAGATACCGTAAATTAAATTGATACTTCTAAACATGCTTGATATATTAAATAATACTCTAAACGCGTGTCAGGTAGCTAAGAATAACAAGTAGAATTAAGAAAAACAGTAAAAATAAAAATCTGTTAGTGCAGTGAAACTTTATATAATAGAAATTAAATTGCTCCAAAATAGGTACCGAATGAACTTTGAATTAAACTCCAGAATTGTGATACCGACATAATTACATTGCACACGATTCAAATATTGTTTGGAAAACTGCATAAACTTAAGCTAAGGTGCATATAATTCTCAGTGTGAGAAGATAATTGCTTACAAATACTAAATTTTTGCCTAAAAGTTAAATTCTAAAAACTTGGATGATGAGAACTAAACTCCAAGAACCTACTTATAGAGTAAAAATTCATACCAGGGTGTCCCATAACATGCAGAAAGTAGTGGAAAAAATATGTCCAAGTCTGGGAACGTGCCAAAAAAAATATGAACTGTAAGGTCCATGATGGGCGTCCTGGTCATGACGCTCTCCGTTGTCACGAGTGGGAAGCCATGACGGGCGTTATAGTAATGACGATCGTGCACATCATGTTGTTGACATTGCACTCCTTATGGCTTTGTCTTCTAATGATGACGACCCTCCCTTTCCCACGTTATGACGGGCGTCATATTGGTAGAGTGTGCGTCATGATAGTGCAAAATTGCACTTTTCCTCTTGTTTTCTCCATTTCGCAATATTTTTCCGCATGATCACTCTTGCAATCAAAATACCTGAAACAAAGGACAGGTACAAACATAAACCTATAAAAAGGAAGTCCGGGTTGATTTCCGATTTGTTCGGGGGTAGTTTTATCCCCGTGGTGTGGACGTCCCATCGCGAGCTGGGTGTCCTGCCAATTTGGGTACGACGACGGGGGTCTCGGTTGAGATGCTCCCCATCGAGCATACAATACGTGTAGAAATCAAGCATAACATCATGCAGAAACAAAAAACAGAGCACACACTCGAACAAAAGCAATATATTAAACAAGGGCACCAGCCCGGTAATTCAGATACAACAAAAGGCACGCAGGCCCAAACAAGTTAACAAAAATACAAAATATTTGGCACGCAGGCCTAGAATCGTCGAGCACACAGGCCCGGAACAAATTACACCTCTTCCTCGTGCTCACCAGGCACAACCGTGTCACCGGCCTCCTCATCATTGGGATCGACCACCCGACCATCAACGATGTCGTAGAAAGGTCTGATACCCTCCTCGACCAGGACGACGTCGGGGTTAACCACCTTAAGCTGCGCAACAGCAACATTGAAACCAACCGCGACAGCCTCGAGGCAGTCGCCCTCCAACACCCGGATCCTGGCCAGCAGGTCTGCCCGGGTAACCATCTTCCTTTCATCATCGGCTTCGTCCTCAGAAGGGCGAACGACCCCCTCCAATTCCTCGACCCGGCCCTTCAACGATCGTGCCTCCTCCTCGGCGGCCTCCAGCTTTTTCTCCGCGACGTCCCCCCTCTGGCGCTGCTCCTCGACCTCTCCCTTGCTCCTGTCCAGATCCTCGACCACCTTGTTCAAACGAGACTGGGCAAAGGCAAGATCCCCTTGCAGCTTCGACAGCTCAACAACGGAACAAATCTCATCACTCAGAACCAGCGCCTTAGTAAAAACACGCATCAGAGCAGGCAAGTCCTCCATCAGCTCCTAACGGCAGGCAACACGATCCGCGCCCAGAACCAGCTTGGCTTCCCCAGCGGGAATGATGGAGGACCTGCCCCCATGGAAGTAGATGAGCTGTTGGTGACACAGAGGCATCACAAAGCCCTCCTCGACCATGTTGGTCGTCAGGTCTACCACGGTCTCAGGCTGGTGAACCCTCGGTCTCTTCGCGCCCGGATGAGACGGGGAAGACTGTCTACTCCGACCAGTTGAGGGGGAACCTTTGTCGTCTTGATCTCTGGAGGCCTGGCCAGCTACCTACCCCATCCTTGTCTTCGCGGGAACGCCCTTGGAACACAACTTCTTCATCCTCTCCTCGACGGTAGACATACTTCCTGCAACATGAAAAGAAAAGGTTAACGGCAGAGAAAATTGACAAGACAAGAAAAGAAGAAAAGCGACCACCACCTAGCAGGTCTAACGCGTCAAGCTCCGAATCACACTCGAGCAGGGCCTTCGTGTTTATCAGCCTTTTCTTCGTCCGGATATTTCCTTCGCTGTCTCGAAGATATCGACCGTCGGGCATTACGAGCTTATACGGAGGCAAGCCGTTGACGAACTTGACCACCTTCAAATAGGCAGCCGCATCCTCGGCGTCAAGC